AAACTCGCGCGACATGTCTGGTGTTGACTGCGCAGCGACACTTGGCTGGCTGATTCGACACCAGCCAGCCAATGGCTTACCAGTCTCTCAGCTGAATCGATTTCCTCATTCCACCCAACCGGACAACCCAGCTTCCTCATTTCCAACCAATCGGCCGACTCAGTTTTCTCCTCACCCAACAACCTTTCACCAAGTTGCCTACAGCCTCTTCCAAGCTCAAGTGAATCGACCAGCTCCTCCATCAACTCATGGCCCCTAGCCGTTCCACCATGCAGCTTTGTGTTTGCTCTCTATGCATTACCAACTCAGTACATGATAGCGAAGGAAAAATCATAAATGGGAAGTATCTATCTGCTCGAAACCTAGCCAAGCACCGCTCAGATGAATACAAAAGGTTGCTCAACGCTGAAGCTCACAACACCAACCAATCTGATACACCCTCTGAACAATTGGAAACTAGTGAATCATCCTCCGACCAATATTCCGAAGAAAGCGGTGTTTTCCTAGGATTTGATGAAACCCAAAACAACTTCCATCTCAGTTAGTCTGTCTTTTCTCAATTTTCTATTAAACTTGCTATGCTGGACGCTTCTCTCATGAATTATACAGTCTTCATCATCTTGTTCGTCAGTTGGCTCCACATATTCTGCAATGTCAGCCGGCAAAACTGTCGCACAGCAGTTACTGCCCTTTTCAATATACTCAAGGAGACAGCTAGACGTTCATCATCAACTCGAACACTCTCAAGAATGCCCCGCGATCCTCGTACTTTAATTCTCAAGGCAGCAATCAAACCAACTCTTCTCGAAACTGTCTGCTGTCGTGCCTGCTTCCATCTCTATCCACATGAAGCAAACAAACCTCCTCCACCAACACTCTGCACTTACAAAGCTTTTCCCAACGATGAACCATGTGGCGAAGAGCTCTGGATTCAAAAATCCGGTCACAGTGGTATCAAAGACCTGGGCCAATTTCCCAAGCTGCCCAAAAAATTCTGGCCAGCAACGTATGGTGTTCCCCGATGCCTTTTTATTTCACAGCCTATACTTTCATGGCTCGAGTGGCTGCTGGCAAAGCCTGAGACGGAAGCAGCAATCGAAAAGTGGGCTTGCGATCTCAGAAACCCCGATACAGAACTCTCAGATGTACAACACGGCCAAACCTTTCGAAGACTCAGCCTGAAGCACACGCCAAGTTCACTCAATTTAATGCTTTCCCTATTTGTAGACTGGTTCAATCCACGAGGCAACAAGATCAGTGGGAAAATTGAATCAACTGGTGTATTTGCCATCAGCTGTATGAATCTTCCTCCGTCATTACGAAACAAAATATCTCACATCTGTATTGCTGGTCTCACCCCGGGTCCATATTCGCCTGACAAAACAACAATCAACAACCTCCTGAAGCCTATCGTCGACGAGCTGATCATGCTAGATTCGGGTGTGATAATCAAAACCCATCAACATCCTCATGGCCGCTTGGTCCGTGCTCAATTGCTGTGCTTACTAGGCGACTTGTTGGGAACGAAGAAAGTTGCGGGGTTTGCTTCACCAAATGCGACTAGATTTTGCACGTGGTGCCATGCGCAGTGTCAATCACTTGACAAACTCGAAATTGCGAGAAAAAGAAACAAAACCGAAACGATCAAAGCTGCACAATCCTCCAAGGAAGCTGACACTGAGGACAAGCAAGACAAGATCCTCAAAAAAACCGGGGTGCGCTGGTCCGAACTCAACCGCCTGCACTATTGGGATCCAAGCCAGCAGGTTGCACTTGGGATCATGCATAACTGGCTCGAAGGCATCCTGCAAACGCACTGGCGAAACCGATGGAGATTCTTGGCGATTGCTAAGCCAAAAAAGAAGAAACGCACACAACCTGAAACACGACTTGACATGCCCAGTAACAAGCGCCGGAGGACAACACCAGACGTAGTGATGATGTCAGCAAGCGAGGAGTCTACTGCAGAATTGAGTGATCAAGATTGGGAGGACGAGGATGAAGACATACTCCTTGATGGTGGCGAAGGCGGAGGGTTTTTCTCACAAGAAGACATTGCTCGGTTTCGCCAAAACATGTCAAAAGTGGTACTGCCATCAGGTCTGCCTAAGCTCCCCCCAAATCTTGGTGAAGAACGACACGGAAAATTAAAGGCGGCCCAATGGTATTGTCTATTCGCTTATGTCATACCATTGGTGATATTCGATCTTTATCTGAATGAAGTCAGAGACATTAGGATCGATTCCAATCGAGGAAAGTTCTTCATGAACACGGCTTACTTGATGCAATGTACCCATATACTGTTTGCTCGACAAATTACGGATAGCCTCATCAACCGTTTTCAAAATAACTATCAAAAATATTGCGACACAGTAGGAGATCTCTTTAACGGCGTGAAGGTGCAGCCAAACCACCATTTTGCTCTTCACATCCCGGATCAAATGCAAGCTTGGGGTCATTTGCCAGGGGTTGCTGAATTTGCAGGGGAGAGGCTCATTGGTTTCATACAAAAGATCAAGACAAACAACTTGATTGGTACGTGGCAACTGATTGTAAAATAAGAAGACAAAAAGTGTACTGAAGTATGTTAAATTTGGCAGATAAGATGAATGGGACGATGATGCGGCGTGGTTGTTACTTACAGCGAATGATGGAGAAGCCTGAATATCAACAAATGATTCGAGACAATGATCAGGAAGAAAAAAGGCAAAGGAAGAAGCCCATCAGCTGGATTGATAAACTGTATGACAAAGTTTTTGAATACATTGCACGTGAAGATAAGTCGGTGGTTCATCGGAACGATTCCACGGCTCCCATTGGTGCCCCAGTCCTGGCTGGCTGGGCCGATCCAGTTCGAGCGCTCTCTTGTGAAGGTTTCAAAATCTCAACAACCAGACCTGACAATTGTGTGGTTGCCAAGGTGGGTGGAAAGATTCGGTATGGGATAGTGAAACAACTTTACACTTTTTTGGACCACAAGGAACAAAAAAGAAGCCTCGCAGTCTTATCGCCAATCACCAACATGTTTCCCAAACGAACCCAAGTTCCAACATCTCGATTTCGATATTATCTGTATCTCTACAAAGCCGTGGTGGGAAGGATAGACTATAGTGAGGCACTGGTAGTTTCACCATCAGATGTGATGTCTCTAGCAGCATATCGTTTTCTTCCTCAAAATGTCTTTGGCATTGAGAATCACGGTGTCATTCTTGTGCCATGTGATCATCGAGCCCTTTTAGATATATCTGGTGACCAGTAGCTTTTTAATTTATTTCATCTTCGCATAGCTTCTCCTTGGACTCAGTTATATTTGTACTTGGTTTGAATTTCTCATGTTTGCACAATTCATCAACTTAAAAGATAATAAAATTTTTATTCCACAAGCTGCATAGCATTTGCGGATTATACAGAGAAGAGTTCACACAAAGCTCGAGAAAAAGCCATTCATTTACATTTTTTTTCCTGTTCACTAATGTTGCTGAATAGGAACCTCTGCAACTGCTCAGCCCTGACGAGACTGTGCAGCACGCCATTCAATTTCCTTTGGCTGACCCACTTGATCATTGGCAAGAATTTTTGACTATTGACGATTTCAGATTCACCCAGAGCAATTATTTCTTCTTCCCAAGACTATATGTAAGCCATAATTTCTTCTCTTTCTTGCTCTGAGTAATAGATTTAGCTCCAAAGAATTAGTAATAGCCATTGCAAAAACGGGAATTTTAAATGTTATTTCTACATTGTTTCGTTGAAAAAAACAATCAATCAGATCTGTTGTTTGATTAAGAGGTAATTTTGTACAAGGTTTAAGTTACTATTAGTATGATGATTGTTGTGAATGATTCGATCAGGATGATTGTCAGTATGACCATTGGTAGCAGTACTACTGCTACCAGTATCATTACTGCTATTACACACTGCAATAAGCCATTCGAGGGCTGCCGGATGAGTTTTTCCGAATGCATGGGGAGAGATTTCGGCGAGTGCGGTGACGTCACGGGAGGTGAGATGAGGTGCAAGACCCTGGGTTTTCAAGTCAGGAAGACAGAGGTTGCAGCTGTCCTGGAAGGCTTGATTGGCCAGAGAGACTGCTGCTGCAGGTTTCGAGGGGGTTGAGGTTGGATCGAGCCGGGTGAGAGGGTCAGAGGGGGAGGAGTATGTCCTGGAAGATGTAGACGCGACAGGGGCTTTGATGAAGCTTTGGCTCTGCGACTCAACAGGCTGCGTCCGGTCAATAGACATCGTCGTGGGTAGCTCGCAGTCCGCCGGAGTGGCCACCAAGCGGTCCGATCAGATCAGCGATAGCAAGTCTCCTAAAAGCGTCTTCAGATGTACCTCCAGTGCTATCAGTGCTAACGAGCTCGCCGCCTTGTCTCGAAGTTGCTGTATCCAGATAGCTCAACATTTGATGGGAAAAAGGATAGGTCTAAGGCCGGCGATGGGAGGGCTAGGTCGAAATGAATTTTCTGGCCGATCTGGAATCCGACCATCCAACCAAGAGTTCAGTTCAACACACAACTCCATATCTAAGAAGAGACAGAGAGGGGGAGGGGGACCTTATGAGGATGAGTCCAAGTAGCCGCACAGAACTCGGGCGAAGGACACTTATCGAGGATCTTAACGATGACCGACGGTTTGGGTGGTGATCTGATTGATCGGAGTTAGGAATGAGCTGCCTGAGACTTTGAATAAGTCTGAGTATTCCTGGGTGGCTCGGTTGGATAGATCTGGTAGGATCGATGGTTCTTGAGTCATCTTTTCAGTGTTCTTCCTATTCATGATCCAAATCGCTCAAGGTTGAGAGTGAGTCCCAATGTTGGATGAGGTTCTGTTGGTGTTTGAGCTGTTGTTGCTGCTGTTCTGAGGTGGATGGTTGTTGGGAAGAAGATGGTGTTGGCTTGTTGACCGATCTTTAATATCCGCTGAGTGGTTAACAGGCCAACAGGATTAAACCTGGTCCAATAGGGTTATAATCTTGAATGGAGTCAGCTGACACATTGATGTCACAGATTGTTTCACCAGTGCAGACTTCGGAACTGGTCTCCTCAAACAACCGGGATCGTGTCCCCAAACGACCTGGAACGACTCCTACAACTTCGACTCGATTCATCTCCAATTCATCTCCGCCGCCTCTAAGGTCGCTCCTCATCATTCTATTCATCACCCATATAACCAACAGCTTTGATTGCTCAAGATTATGGACATGTCTAATCAAAAACAACCCCCTAGGACTGGAAAACTTGTATCGCTTCAATCTAGTAAGTCTTATTTTACCTTATCGAGCTGTCTTATTGATTTGAACTCGATTTTGATGGGGCTGATCAAACAAATCTTCCAGCTACTATGGATCGATCAATCAAACAGCCTAGGGGAAAAAAAAATCCTCTGTTGGAACTCAAACCATCAAACAAGAAGCAATCAATCACTAGCGATCTAACCCCCTCAAAACGACCGTCAATGACTTATGCTTCTGCTGTTTCTGGTATCAAGCAACCATTAGATTGTCCAAGCGATCGCCTCAAAGGTGATTTGAATCCATTTGCCACTACCTAATGATAGTAATTGCAGTGTCCATCTACTAAAAAACAACTCCATTTGATTTTTACAGCTCCTACCGTTCCCAATCCAACTGGTAACCAGCAATTGACTCCCACCACATACGCTGATGCTGTCCGATCAGTTGATACTCGTACCAATCAAGTGATAGTTGCAAAGAGAAATAAACTACAAGTAAGATTTTATCCTGATGTCATCCAATAGGAAAGTTGATTGCTCCGGCTAATATATGTCTGTTTCTCATAAACACAGCCTTCTTCCAAGACCTTTGGATCAAGATCAAATCAACCTTTGCCTTCGTCAAACAGTTTTTCATCTGAATCCAATCAAGTGACAGTTGCAAAAAAAAATGGGCTACAAGTAAGCTTCTTTCCTAACGTCATACAATAGGAAAATCAATCACTCTGCCTCATATGTTCCTGTTTCCAACAAAACACAGCCTTCTCCCAAGACCTTTGGATTGAGATCAAATCAACCATCGCCTCCATCAAGCAGTTCTTTATCCGAATTGAGTAGCACCCTTTCAAACTTGAGCTCTTCTCTTTCCGACTCAAGCGATTCTATTTCAGAATCAAGGATTGGTAGTACTTGCCAAGATCAATCTTCTAATATTGGAAAACCGGGTAGAATCCCTCAGAAAAGGAAACAAGTAACGTTTGTCATCTATCAATCCAATCAATTAAGTTGAAAGAAGGGCTGATTGGTTTGCTTTTTTTTGCTCTTGAATTTTTCTTCCTGCCTTTATTCTTCTCTCTTTATGGTTAATCGGCTTTATTCTACTTTGCCATGGGGAAAATGATTAAACTGTTGATTGAAACCCAATATGAGCACACCCCCTCTTGCTCGCTTTGACCTTCATGATATCAGTAATCTGACTCCCCATGGACGTAAGAAAAGAAATGCCCGAACTACCCGAAGGAGAAGAACAAAGCGGGAGAAGAAGTGTGCAGAAGAATTCACGACTGCTCGACCACCCACTCAGTTTCGAATCATTCAAAAGAAACTGCGCCCAATCGATCTTTTTCCTGATATAACAGCTGATTTCAATCAACGGAAAGCTGAACAAAAACAACTAGTGGAGGCCCACAAGAAGGATCCAAAAAATATTCCCAAACCCTGTGAGAAACAAATCTTTGCACGAAACCCAACAACCGAGGAAAACAATCTTGCTTTGGAAACTGTCAAAGATTCGTTCAGTTTCATCAATTCAAAGTATAACAAGATTTACGACGAAAACAGCTCCAAACTTGTTGCGCTGGTCGAGTTTCTTAAATTTGAAGATCTCACAGAAGAACAATGGGACGACCTCAACTTCTTGTGTCTATTTCTACAAGATTGCAAAGAGTTCATCTCTCCGGTTGCCTCCAAATCTCGAAAGTGCGCTGGGATTATGTGGGCTCTGGGGTGGCGGAAAGATTACGACGGGATCGAAATTCTTGGTCGATATCGTGATAAAAAGGCCATCGAGAATAACCCGGAGGGATTCGAAAAGGTCATGAATCGATCTATTAGAGCAGGTGAAGTGCTATGGAAAACTTTCCATGGTTTTGCTGATGTGGCTGTCGAAAAAAACCAGAAATTTATGGAAGACTTCAACATTCCATCAATTGCCGACAACAACTTCCCTGAAAGCCCTGGAGAAAAATATCCATTTGGTTTTGCTTCAAATCTTGCGTTTTCTTCCCATGGGTTCTATAATCATCATCATCTCGATTCTGGAGATTCCTCTGAACTTCCACTAGCCTTTGCATTGATTATTCCAACTTCAAAATTAACCGGCAAGATTGCGAATGATGACTATGATGTTACAAATGGTCAATTTATTTTTAGAGATTTACGTATTGCTCTTGATTTCAAACCACGCACTATATGTAGAATGATCTTCCGCGCACAAGAATACGTCCATGGTACTTTATTGCCAACTGAACCAACGGTTTTTACAAAATTAGGATTAGCTCTGCAAGTAGCAACCAGGACAAGTAATGCCTGTAAATTGTATCTTAACGGGACTTTCAATGATGACACTGACATATACTTTGGCGGTGTTGATGCCCTTTTAGAAAAAAATGAATGACACATGTCTATTTTGTATGGTTTATTGTTTTATTTCCTCTAATAAATTGATCCTTTGACTGTATTTGCATGGCTGCAGCTCTTAACAAATCCACAACAAAATGTCATTGAATTATATTAATATTAATATTAAATAGATACCTTCAAGTTTGTATGAACTGGGCTCTTGTAGGCCAAAAAGGCTAGGAAATCTCTACTTCACCTGCTCATCTAAAGTCGGATCAACTTTACCAGAAAACAAAACAGCCAGAAAAAATTAAACTGGACTGTCTCTGTGATGTCTCAGAAAATGAATTTGGAGTTGTAAAAATTTCCTCCAAGAAACTCAAAACAATCTGTTTGAGTCAAACAGAGCCACATTTCATTTCACACATGCTATTTACAAGAGAGTAGAATTGAATCTTAAAAGAGGGTGATAACATAATTTTGATGGAATAGATCTGGAAAGTTGATGAAGAACGGTATTGGAATGAGCAGGGGAACAACCAGGAATACAAGTTTTTTTTTTTAGTTTTTTCTCTTCTTTTTTTAATGTGCACAATAGCACAAATATCACGGTAGTAAACTAAGAGAGAGCAAGCAGCAGTAGAAAAAGTAAATGGATCACCAGCCGTCCTCCTCCTCTTCCATGATGCCAAGCATTTTTTGGTCAACTCCATATTTGGCGGAGCTCATGTGGACATCTTGGTCAATGTTTGAACTGCCACTTGGTTCATTCCAATCTTCATCGTCCTCGTCGTCGGTTTCGTCCTCATCCTCACCCTCTTCTGCATCGTCTTCCTCACCCTCCCCGTCCTCCACAACAAAGTTCTCGTCATACAAATCGCCTGCCTCCCCCTCGTCAAGGTACTCGTCCTCTGATACATCGGGGCTAGTTGCATCCAGGTCGTGCCCTTCCCCCTCAGAGTCATCACCACCGTTCCCATTCGCTGCCGGTTCTCCCTCCTCTGGCTCGCTATCAGAAGACCCATCCGAATCGCCTCCCAACAGGCCATAAGGCCCAACCAGCATGTCCCAGTACTTGCGGTTGAAAGAGGAGTCTTTGAGCTTCTCATCCGGATGTCGTTGTTTCTTGGGCTGTAACGACTCGCTGGCATTCGGAAGAAAGGCAACCATCTGAGTGTTTGGGATTGTTTTTTGTTGAACTTCTGACAGCTGTTGATACCACTGAGGATCGTAAAAGTCAATCGGAAGTCCTTTTGGAGCCACGGTGTATTTTGAAGGGACCGGGGTTTTGGGCAGTTTACGGATTCTTCGCTTTCCGTGGGTTGATGGGTCTTGCTCGGCAGCTTTCTTCATTGCAATGTCTAAAGCACGGAAGAACTTGCTGGCGTTTTTTGAGCGGTAACACAAGGTCTTGATTTTGTAGAATCCCTTTTTGCCGTCAAGCTCGTCATCGCTGTGGGCTGCAATGGGTGCGAGGATGTCTTGATATCGCTTGGGAAACTTGCTCACAACAGCAAACTCTACTCGTGCATCTCGCAACTGGTCAAAAATCAGAATGGGCAAGTGTTAGTAATTGGAATTACCTTCACAACCAGAAGAAACAAAAGACGCACTCTCTCTCGGTTCTTGGAAACCCTCTTGTTCAGGGCTTCCGCAGCAGCCTTTCCTTCTTCTTTTTTTTCCTTCTGGTATTTTGCAAGCATTACAAAATGGACGTAGTGATTGTAGGCTTGGATTATTAGAGCGGAGTTGGTGGCCAAAATCGGGTTGACGTTCATGTAGTTGTACGCTCTGCCGGCAACCAATTCTTGAAAGGTGGTGATGGCCGCAATCCGATGGGCTGCATTGTATAATGAAGCAGAATCTTCTTCCAGGTTAGGGCACCAGACGCGCAAGCCAAGGCGCACCATGAGACCTTGGGCGTAGCGAATATTGTTGGAGCCTAAGTGGATGACTTGCCGGCCAAATTTAACTGATCCCGAAGTAGCGCCTTTGAACAGCTGAACCTCGTGAGAACCAATAAGTGCAGGAGACAAACTCCCCTTGGCGGCTTCTTCAACTTGATCGTTGTTTGAGAACCGCTGGTAGAACTCTTGAAGGGTTTGTAAATCTGGAGCTTGTGGCACTGAGTCTTGCGTTAAAAGTCCCCATAAGATCTTGATGTGTACAAATAGTGCGTTCTAAGGAAGACAGATACTTACTACATCAGCATTTGAATAATGACTAATGAGCATGTGAACAGGTTTAGTTTACCTTAGTTGTAAGAAACTCCGGAGGAAAATCACCAGTTACCATCTGCTGGGGGTGACGTCTTGGGGATGGTGCCTTAACGACTTCGAGCTTCTTGGAATGCTTGTTGGACTTGCGTGGCTTGGGGTTTCCGACTTCAGGGGGAGCTGAAGTTGCGCGAACCGCTCTCTTAGGAGTTGACATGGAGGTAGCTGGTGGGGGTGGTGCTGGGATTGATTGGCGGGGCCCCGTTTTTTTTTTGGGCTGACTACTTGGCTTAGGGCGACCGTCCTCTTTAGATTTGCTGGTGGATGGCTTCGGAGCAGCTTTCGAAGTAGTTTTGGGTTGAGATGTGTTCCCCGAGGTTTTCAACGTACGGACCTCTTCGATGAGCATAGCCAACATGGACTCATGTTGTTGAGTGCGTGCTTTCACGGCGTCATCGACTGCTTGCTGTTGTTCAGCAGTGAGGTTAGGAGCAGTCACAGAGGTTTCAGGTTGCCACGGATTCATTGGTGAAAGCTATTGATAGTTGAACTGAGAGGAACTATTGACCGTTATGGGGGATAGGGGCTGATGTGAGACAGTTTCTTTGAAAGTAACAGACCGAGTAGGGTGTGCTTGAAAGCAAGATGTTGGAACCGAGTATGTTGGCAAATAGTAGAGTATTTATAGAGTTCAGCGGGCAGATTTCTCGTGAACAGAGGTGATCAAGTGTAGTGAGTACTCGTAAATATGTAGTGAGTCTTGATTAGCCCATGTGAGATGATCAGAGATGATTCAAAACTGCAAAGGTATGTACCATCAGTCAGCAGTTAGTTGCATACATATGTATGCATTGCTATGAATTGTCACCTGTTGTCGCTGCATTTCAAATCATGTCGCAGCAGATGACGACCAAAGTTGAATTCAAACTCGCGTGAATCGTCAAGGTGACGCTGCGGCCCGCAGCGACAGGCAAATGTCCGTGGTGTACACCAACAACGCCATGTCTCTCCGGTCGTTAATTCGGTATATAATCCTGTTTCCTAAGGGAAAAAAATTCTAAAGTTGGTTATGCTGAATTGAGCAACAAGAAATTCTCCCAAAGGATGAGATAATAGAGTCTGACAAGGCAGGTTGGACCATATGTTTAAAGTAGGTTGTGCCATAGTGGATTGATTTCATGTCAGCAGATCATCAAGGATGGATGTTACTGAGGGAGCTTTTGATGACATAATGTGGACACTGCTTGTTGCTCTTGTTGGTGTAAATTCAGTGTGGGACTCTGTCTGTGTCAAAAGTTGAGCAAGAAGTGCAAAAAAAAAAAATGGTTTGTAATCTCTTGGCCTGGTCAAAATCATTGAGGGTGATTTCCCCATGGCAAGAAGTGAATGATGTATCATTGGGATGACTGTTTGTAAAGACTTCACTGGTGGATGGATGTGTTGGAAAGTGGGCTTTGTTGGAACTTTGGTTCAAGATTGTTGAGGCCATCATTGTGCAAGCACCCCTGCTCAGCAGCTTTGAGCTCCTTGAAGTTGGAGGAATGAGTGGTGACAGATCAACACTGTGAGGATGAAGAGACACAACACTGTTTATATGTGCAGAGCTGATGTGTACAGTCCACTGTGAGCAGGGGCAATGGTGGAGCTGTGGGGAAATGGATTCTAAACACTTCAGGACTACATAGGCCTGTTAAATCCTCCTGAAACATTGTTCTCTATCTGTGAAAGAGGACGGCCTTTGAAAAGTTGCCCTGCATGTGGGGGTGGTTATGTTTGGATCAAGTTAATTTACCAATCAAAATGAATATGCATTCAACCAAGAAGCGTCGAAGCATCAACCGCTGCGATTGTACATAGAGCGAGGAAAGAGTTGTCCCAACGACGCGCAACTTGATTTTCTGAAATAGAGAAGCTTCAAGTCGTTGACCCAAGAGTACATATGTATGTATTTTATTTTGTTTCGGTTCAAGCAACGGTCTCCAAGGGATTATTTTGATGATTGACGACTTGGATCGAGTATTAATATGAACAGCTCGTGAATCCATACATCTTGTGTGTTTCTGTGACGGTACTTTGGGAATACTCGATCTGACTCGGCTGTTGTTGTCTCATTCTTCGATCCTGTATTCTATGTGTAGCCGGTGCGACCAACAAAGGAGATCGTTTCAGGCTGTTTCAGGTTCCCGAAGTCTCTCAAAGTTCAGCTACCCTTCTGCAACATCCCCCATCCCCCTCCAACCAACCGAAACATTTCCATATTCGAACTCAAGCATCTTTTCGACAATCCTTGGATGACCTCTCACTCGATCGCCATCCTGGAAACCTCGAGCTAGTCGAACCCATTCGATTATTCGTACAACCCACTCATCTAAAACCCAATCGCCCCGCCCCACCCCGCCACGCAAGCCACCACCTTCAACTTCGAGAGAAGAAAGAATTGAAATCTCGTTCGAGCTCAGACCTTCTTTCCCGGAAGGATAACCGCGATCGGCATTGATTGGCTTACCTAGGACCCGTCGATCTCTTGTAAGCCAGCGGTTGAATTTTTTTTTTCCCTTCTTTCCGTGCTGAGTCATCCGAATGATGTACCGAAATAGTAAAAGGGTCGATTCATCGCTCACTTGCTGTCCAGACTACTCAAGTCTTCTTGACCAGAAATCTGATGGGAGTCTTGTTGACTTGGGAGGAGTCGGATTGATATCTCCGGGTGCTCTTCCTCCTGACCCTCTTCACTTTGGCTGTCTTCAATCTCTCAACCACTCACTATATCAACCATTTCTCTCTTGCTCTCTTTGGCTTGAGCTATCCCGCTACTGTTCTTCTCCCTGGTCTCTTTCCCGGTCGGCTCTCGTTTATGGCTCAGAGAGTTCATCTCAGATCGTAAGGCAAGACCAACATCTCATCGGGGGTGTGGCCTTGGCCAGTATTGGATGGTCTCAAAGCATCTGTCAGTTTATTCTGATGATCAGTTTTGTTTTCATACAAACTTGATTCCTTCAATCTCGCCATCGTCATCATCCTCAGCTCTTTTGTACACCTCCTTTGGTGTGCATCTAGACAGATTTCTGGTTGATATATCTTTGCTATATCATTTTGCAGTTGTGTTGTGTTCGAGAGAACCACTTCTTCAGTTCATCCCAGTTATCATGCAAAGGCAGGAGCTCATATTCATCTCGCTCCGTCATCTCTTCTCTTTCTTTCTCCTCCCTGTTTGGTTTCCCTCTCTCTTGTTTTATTCTTCGGAGTGTCACAATTGACTGGAAAATCAAGAGGGCGATGATTGATTGGGTGGAGTGACAGAGTGGGAGCCCTTTAGCCAGTCAAGCTCAACCTCGAGTACCACTCCGAAGGCAACTTCTCAGTGGTAATATTCACTCGGGTGGGTGGCCACGGAATGGAATTTTTTTTTGAAGGGTAAAATACTCAACATTGCAATCAGAAGACATATCTTCATCAGCCCTCAAACTCACAATCTTCTAGGTACCTTCAGAGTTTTTGGGGGTGGATAGATTGCAGACATCAACACGGAACAGCGGCTCGATGTGATGGCTTAAGAAGCAGTGAAGCTGAAACGGTTGATTGGATTAGGTTGAGGGTGTGATCTAGCCTAGAAGAGCTCATTAGAAGTATTTCCTTGCAGTATATCTAGACAACTCCCGAGCATCATGCTCTATCTCCATTTTCTAGGACGTCAGCTGCTGATTGTTTGGGTTGCAAGGAATCGTTTGAAAATGATAATACTTGGCAAAGTGCCACACTGACGGAAATGATCAACTCAGTCACAATTCGAAGATCCCTAAAATTCTTGCAATAATCGAAATTCAGTTGCTGACTTCTGACACTCTTCTCACTTCCAGGCATTCCTTGATAGATCCGCTTGTTGATTTTACAATTACGTTAACTGGTGCCTCGAAAGGGTTTTTGGAAATACCTCGACTGTAATCAGCACCTAGAAGATAAAGAACATGGCCTCAGCTTACATTGCCCACTTAGGCGACCTCAGTACACTCTTTAGCTTCGTTGGGTGGTGGTTCCTACCCGGATACGTTTCGTCGACGGTTCTTGGGATTTTCTATCGGATATTCCCTGCACGTCGCCCTAAAGCTCCAGAACGTGGATCAACCAACCCAGATGAAAAACCGATCTATAATCCAATACATGAACTACAGAAGTCAGAATACGATCGTCGAGCCCGTCGTCACCACTCGATCGCACACGGTCTCGTAATTGGTCTCTACCTCGGATACACATTGATTGTTGACTATCAAAAGCAAACCGGTTCCAATTATTACTCCGTCTTGGGTATCCAATCCAACTCACTCGCTTTCAACAGCACCACCCAAAGTGTACCTGAGAACTTGAATACAGTCAGAACTCAAATCATTCAAGGGGATTTGCTCGACGAAGCCGGATTGAAGTCTCACTGGCGCCGAGTGGCCCGTTCATTTCATCCAGACAAACTCAACCCACCTGCCGGATTAAGAACTGAAATTGAGATCGCTGAATGGAAGGGCAATGTGGAAGCAAAATTTATTCGAATGAGAGAAGCGTATGAAACTTTGAATGATAATACCAAACGATGGGCCTATGATCGGTATGCGCTTTCTCCCATTCTCAAACTCGTGCACAAACGAGCTCAGTGTGGCATAGTAAAGCTTACCTGACTGATCTGGCTGTATTCAACATCTTGTAGATTTGGACCAATGATTTTACAATGGAAGAATTGTATCACCTTGAGAGAATACCTGATCGAAGGAATCAAGAACACCTGTCCATTTTATGGCTTTTCCTTTTCGTCTTTGCTGGTGATAGGAACATTGAGAAAGACGGACGCTGGTACATTTGTGAGTATTGATCTTTGTTTGATTACATGTCTCTATGCCTAATGGAGATGTTTATCTAATCAAATTCATCGAATCTTTATGGCAATTGAAAAAAAAAAAAAGTGGCGATGGACGATAATGCTGCTAGTCATTGGACTGGAAGCAATGATCCTAACATCGACTTCACTCACCCGTGTCTCGCTGGTGCTATCACGAATATTTCCAAACCGGGCACCATTCGAACACATCGAACTATTGCGACAATTTTTCATCGCGAGTTCCTGTGTAGCTACGCAAATCTCTGGTATTATTTACTCGGTACCAGAAGAGATGAACAAAAACC